GGGGGCCAGAGGGGCGGGCGCCCCCTGCTGGTTGGATGGCTCTTCTGTCCACGGACAACGCAGGGAGCTAAACCCAGGGGCCCCCCTGCGGGCTGGGTCACCCCCCTGCGGGCTGGGCGCCCTGAGCCGGCGCGTGCCTTCTCTGAGCATCCGGTTCCTCCATCTGCAGAGGAAACAGCTCCTGCTGCTCGTCCCGGGCTCCACGCGGCGACGCCTGCGGAGGCTCAGCTGGAGCCGGGGTGGATCTTGCCAGCACAGCCTTGGTGACTGTTCAAGGCGTGTGTGTACGTTCTGGGGACGCCCCGTGGAAACGTGTGGTTACTGTTGTCTTAAGTCAACCTGCAAAGTGTCTGGACATAAGTTAGAAAACACGGAATTTGAAATAAATGGAGGTGGCAGCTTTCTGCTGAGCGCTGACGGCCGTAACCACCTGAGAAACATCGGTCACAATTTCTGCCAAATCGGGGTGGGCCTGAGACTCTGGAAACATCTGGAATCTTCGCAGGGGGCAGGACAGGGGCTGGGTTGCACAGACATGGCATCAGAGTGTGGAACTAAGCCATCAACAGGGGAAGCTTCTGGGCCACATGGGAAAGACAGAAGATAACACGGGGCCCCTGAGTGTGACGTCATCCGCCGGAGCTCCCACATCCCGCCAGCAGGCTGGCGCACACACACACACACCCCACACCTGCTACAAGTGCACGATCCTCGGGTAACTCCAGCCCAACGGCTTGGCTGATACAAAGAACAAAAACCACGTATACCCGAAACTTGCCCGGTCCAACAACAGTGACCAATGTCTGAATCTGTAGAACGAACTTACAGGAGCTAATTTCACACCTGAAAACTTGGTGCATCACACACACACCCCACACCTGCTACAAGTGCACGATCCTCGGGTAACTCCAGCCCAACGGCTTGGCTGATACAAAGAACAAAAACTACGTATACCCGAAACTTGCCCTGTCCAACAACAGTGACCAATGTTGTCTGAATCTGTAGAACGAACTTACAGGAGCTAAGTTCACACCTGAAAACTTGGCGCATTTTTTATTATTTTTTATAGTCCGTTGGTTTTTAAAGAGCCGCAACTCAGGTACATGCCCTTGACCGGGATCGAACCCGGGACCTCTCAGTCCGCAGGCCGACACTCCATCCACTGAGCCAAACCGGTTTCGGCTATTATTTTTTATAGTTCGTTGGTTTTTAGAGAGTGAGAAAGGGAGAGGGAGAGAGAGAAACATCGATGTGAGAGAGCAACATTGGTCGGGTGCCTCCTCCAGGCCCCTACCTGGGATCGAGCCTGCAACCCAGGCCTGTGCTCAGCAGGGTGACTGCAGGTAACAGCACCGCGCTGTATGTTCGGCAGGAGCCAAGAAAGTAGGTACTTTTTTCTTTTTTTATTATTATTTTATCTTAAATGTTTTAATGACATGCGACATTCAGCATTGTTTTACATATGGCGCCATGCATAGTTATTACACTCTCATCGGCCACATTCCCTCTGCTGCAGTCGAGGTCCCTGTGACCAGTTAGTACCCGCCAATCTGCGCTTCTTAATCCCTCCGCCCTGTGCAGCCAGCCCCCGCTCCCCGCCCATCTGGCCACCCTCAGCTTGTTCTCTGTATCTGAGTCTGTGTCTTTGTTCCTGTGTTTTATGCCTTAGAGTCCACACAGAAGTGAAATCGTCCGGCACTTGTTTTTCTCTGTCGGGCTTATTTCACTGAGCAGGATACCCTCTAGGCCCACCCATGCTGTTGGAATGATGAGCTGTCATTCCTGGTGATGGCCGAGTCATGTTCCACTGTATGTAGGCGCCATTTCTTCTTTATCCCATCGTCTGTCCAGGGCACTTGGTGGGGCTGCTTCCATGCCTTGGCTGGGGTAAAATGGTGCTACAGTACAAATAGGGGTGCATTTATCTTTTTAAATTCGCGTTTTGGGTTTCTTCAGATGAACACCCAGAAGTGGAATTGCTCGGTCATAAGGTAGTTCTATTTTACATTTTTTAGGAACCTCCATATCATTTTTAATTTTTTTTATTGTGGTCAGTATTACATATGTCTCCTCCCCCCCCTTGACCTCTCCCCAGCTGCTCCCATGTCCCGCCCCTACTGTCTGTGTCCATTGGTCATGCTTATGTGCATGCATACAAGTCCTTTGATTGACCTCTTAAGAGAGTAGATCTTAAATATTCTCATCACAGGGTAAAATACTGCAACTCTGTGAGGTAGTGGATAGTAACGAAAGTTGGTCATCACTATGCAATATGTAAACACATCAAATCATTACGCTGCAACTTACACGAATACAACACTCTATGTCGATTATAGGTCAAAACTCAGGGGGGAACAAAATTAATACAGATCATTTTACTTTCAATCTAAGAACCTGGAGCCTTTCGTATTTCATTCTGCTGATATCATTCACTCCCAGGCAGATAGACAGACTGACAGACAGATAGACAGACGCATGCTTTACAGACCTAATTCTTGGTACAGTTGTATTAGCGATCACACTCGCTAATATTAGAGACCGTGAAACCCACCGGTTCACAGAACGTGCTACTTGTAAGCATGTAGGTGTGAAAACACAAGTGTAGAGAGCTGAGTATACGTAGGTTATAAACATCTGTACCACAGGCGAGAAGATGCGAGGGGAGGCGATGTAACAGCATGTGTCTTTGCAACTGCGGTGCGACTCTGACATTAGATGATGCGTCAGGGTCAAGCCCAGCGTTAGCATAACCACAGGTGTGCAGGAATGAAAGAGACCGGGTGGCCCCTGACCAGATCAGCTCACAGCCTGCTCATGTGCTAGGAGACGCAGTGTCATTTCAACGTCACGAAACCAGAAACTGCATTTCCTCTTGGCGCACACCTGGGCTCCGGGAGTCTGTTGGAGCGGGTGTGCGAGTCCCGGGCAGTGCGTGCAGCGCCGCTCACCACGCAATTTCCTTTGCTCCTGAGATGAACGGGCTTTCAGTGGACTCGGTTATTAGGGACACGCTTCGTTTTCAAATCCGAGCGTTGTGCAAGGATGTGATATTTATGGAAAGCCGCCTGACACTTCCTCGCTGCCGAGTGTCTTAAAATGCCAAGTGCCAAAAGCAAAAGCCATTAAGATAAACATCTCCGAGAGTTGAAAGTACATTAACCCTTCGTTTTTCAGAAGAAAATAAGACTAATTTCCAACACACAACAAGAATGTTGTTAGATATCCCGTGTGGCTCCCTCACAGGGAAGGAGCCGAGTCATCTGAATGTTTGTGAAGAACTTGGAAAGTTCACCCCCTGACCCGGAGCCTGTCCCGGAAGAATCCCTGGGACAGCACAGGGGTGCGGCGGCAACGGCGTGGGGGCCGGGCGCTAGGCTGACGCTGACGGGGTCGCTTAGGAAGGCACGGAAGTGCCTAACGGCTGTGCTGCAGGACGTCATATTGAGTGCCAACTGTAACTGGAAAAATTGTTCAGTTACAAAACCATGAACCCCTAGGAAAGTGTGCACACGTGTGCACTCAAATTAACTCCCCACTTCACACCCTCGATGCAATTCAATTGCATCAGGATCAAAGGCCCATTTTTCAATCACAGCCTTTTTAAGAGACA